CCGCCGGAGCTGCCGGGCCACCTAAACACAACCGCATGAATGTGGCCCTGCTCGCCAAAGAGCAACACGAGGCGGGAATCAAAGGGGAAGAGGAATCCAAGAAATCACCCGGCTGAGTGCGGGGGGCCTTGGCGGCTCTTGYAAGAAGGGGCCAAAAGATGCTCAGAGCCATCAAAGAGAAAACCTGAAACCGGAGCCAAAGCCACCGTGCAGCGGAGCAGGCTGCGGACAGATGGGCCCATTTCAAGAGCAGATTCAGAGCAGGGCAGGAGCAAATTTGGGGCCACTCCAGCAAAGCAAGAGCTACCACTTGCATGCGGGCAAAATACCCCCTTCACGGCGGGGGGAAAAAMAATCCCATAGAAGCACTTAAAATATTTGCATTAAACCCCCTGAAGCTGGGGAGGATTAAGAGCTTTATGATAAATTCGAGACAAATAAGTAGCCGTTAGGTCTGGACTGAGCCTCATCGCGGTCTCCACGCTCCCAGTACCGATCCCAGGTCGGAACCAAACCATGCTCCTGCCTCCCTTGCTCTGGGAGGAGGATGCTCCGGGGCTCGCAGGGAAGGCGGCAGTGTCCAGATCCCAGCTGCCCGGATCRGGGCTGGATCTCAGGCTGCTGAATGCAGCACCCTGGCTCCCTTCCCCGCATTCCCACCCAGGGAGAGGAAGCCTCCCGCATGCCGGGGACTCGCAGCCGGGATCTCGTGCGGCCGCGAGCAGCTGCTCCCGGCAGAGGAGCTAAATCCCGCTSCTTGCCAGGCTTGGGAAAGGTCCTCAGTGCAGCCTTGCGTGTGGTTTCCCTCCCGTTCCAAGCAGCGGAGCGAAGCCAGCTCCCAGCACGGCCTCTCYGTGGGATTGCAGCCGGGAAGGGGGAGGGCCGCCCGCTATCCCGCTGCATCTCCGGGCTGCTTCGGAGCGGAGAAAGGGCAGAGCTCGGCCAGACAGGGGCTTGCCAAGCGGGGGAGAAAAGAGGAAAGGAAAACAAGCCTTGGACTTTGCCTTCATTCTTGAGCCGTGGTGGATATTTTCTCCCACTGCTCTCCCRGATTTTGGCTCAGGAGCGAGCGCTCTGCTGGGAACCCGACTGCAGGGGAGGTTTCGCTTAGCTGCCAATTTGTAGCTTTAACTTGCAGAAACCTCCGAGGCTGCGACGGCGTCGGGCAGAAACCTGGGAGAAACCCGGGAAAGGCACCCGGCGGGTAAAGCTGGATGCACCTCCAGCATCGTCACCTTGCGGGGACACGTTGCACTTTGTGACCGTGGAGCTGCAGCGGGAAGGGGCCGGCAGCCCCGGCCAAGCCCCCACGGCTGCCCCCAATCCCAGGCTCCGTGTGCGTTTTGCATTAAGCCTTAACGGGATAAAACACATAAGCAGGCGCTGGCCCCCTGCTCTCTACRAGCTGCTCGCGATCCTGGCACTGTCTTCCCTGGCTCCTGCAAACCTCAGGAAAGGAGCCGCTCTCCAAAACAATGAGAGACGGGCACGAATTCCCAGGCAGGAGATTCACTCCCTTTCCTGCTTCCCACTCTCATGCAATGGCCGGTCTGTCTTGCTGTCTTCTCCTGCAGGTTAGAAGCAGGGTGATTTGGGGGCAAAATGGGGGGTTTTATAWCCAGGACTCCCAAAGAAAAAGCCATTCTCAGTGCAGGACATCATGCAAGCCCAGCCACAGCTAATTGCAGCCAAGCCTGAGAAAATGCAAGGGGCAAATTAAAAGCCTTGCAATCCTGTTGCTCGTTAAGGAAAGCCTCGTTTACCATCAGCTGTTCTGCAAGGCAGGGAGACTCCAGGTCACCCCAAACCTCTGAGAACCAACAGGGCTGCAGCAGCCTCGCAGGGCACAGAGACTCCCTCGTGCCTCAGTTTCCCCTTTTCCTCTGTATCCCACCATAAAACATCCCTCTCCCCAGCACCACGGGGTGGATTTTGCATGCAGAGGGGATTCTCCTCTCTTTTTTTCCTGCATCCCTTCCAAGCAAAGCGAACAGCTGAGCCGAGGCGGAGGCTTCGTGGCACCTTTGGCGGTGCAAGCGTCAGGATAGAAATATGGGCCAGAGCCTAGGAGACCGTTTCTGGGCTGCAAACCCTCCCAGCTCCGATCTGTCCCCTTGGCAAAGGGGAGCCCATGGGGATTGTTCCCTCTCCTGGATTATCTCTTTTCCCAGGCTGCGCAGCCGCCTCTCCGGTGGGTTTGGATGTGATGTTGGCCCGTGGGGACCGAGCAGCCCCCGGAGCAGGACGCGCGGTGGTTTCACTAGTCCCCAGCTCCGCAGCGAGGARTATCTTCTCTCCCAGTGTGCTCAGCCCGAGCAAAATCTAACAAACCAACACGSGGGAAAACCCAAAGGAGACGGTGCGGGGGGAATTAAAACCAGATTGCTGGAGCGAGCCGCAGCTCCACRAGGCTGGGCACGCTGCTCGCGCCCAAGCCCCTTGCCAGGCCCCTTTGCCTGGGCTTTGGGCAGAAAACGGGAACATTCCGGGCTCAGTCCCAGGACCGGAGCGGGATGGGGAGAGCAGAGCGCTGGGATGCTGCCGGGACACAGCCAGGACCTTTCCGCAGGCTCTGGGGACAGTGTCCCCGGGAGCGACGTTACTGGGGATCTAGYGCCCAGCAAAGCAACTGGGTGCCTTGCGGGCAGCACCGGTCGCTCTGCGGAGCATCCTCACCGGCACTGCCRCTCCCGCTGCTTTTCTGCCTTCCCGGGACAGGCTCCGGCCTCATCCATCCATGCGGAGCATCTTGGCAAGGCGCTTCGGCCTTTCCCAGCGCAGGGACCCGCTAGAGGGCAACAGAAACCCAGGAAAGGAAACGTGGAGCTGCACGTCTGGGAAGCGGCTCTGGAGTGGAAGGAGGCTTTCCCATAGGGCAGTCCAGCTTGGAGCGCCTTGATCCCGGGGAAAAAGGCCAGGAGCGGGAAGGAAAGCAGGAGCACAAAGCAAACAGTGCAGTTCAGCCTCAACTGTCGCGTCCAAACGGAGGCCGGCGGCCACCTGTCTGTGTCCACAGTGGGAAGGAGACACCTTGGCCGCCAGGACCTTCTTCTCTGGCAAAATGCACTGGGATAAACCTGGGAACCTCCTTGGCTCCAGTGCCAAGGACGGCAGCGATGGATGCGGCGGCCRTGGCTGGCGGATGGAGCGGCCCCGGTGGGAGCCGGAGCAGCGCGAGCGCGGCTCCTAAATCTCTGCTTTTTATGCCACTCCTGTCTCCAGCTCCCTCCAAACGCTGCAAAAAATAAACCAACAGAGAGGATGTTAAATCACTTTTATCCCCTGCTCTTCCTCCTTGCCCTAAGCCGGGCTCAGCAGAGCCTGGYCCCAGTTCGGGCCCGACGCTGTGTTGTCTTTTCCCTCCTGCAGGATGTCGCAGCCTGGTGGATGGATTAGGCATGCGAGGCCCTTCTGCCGGTCATTTGAGGCTGCATTCCCAATTTTATTCAACATTCAATAAAATCCAAGGCGGGAGGCAGCACACAGGGGCCGGGCAGGCGCGCGAGAGCAGCCAGCAGCACCGACCGTGCCCTTTCTCCTGCAGTTTGGCAGCATTTAGCTCCATGCAGCGAGGTCCATCTTTCCCAAGCAGCTCAGGAAAAGGAGAACAGGGAAAGGGCTCCAGGATGGAAGTAGCGCGGTGCAGAGAGGGAAGTGCAGCTTGGGATTGAGGAAGAGAGGGTGAGATGCTCGCTCCACCGCTGGCAGGGGGTTCCTGCTTCCCTGCAGTGCCAGCGAGCCCAGCATCCCCGCATTCCCAGGATAAATTAGAGAGATGAGTTTTTGCGAGGAGGAGTTTTTGTGAGGATCCCCCCGAATCCTCCCTTTCCCTGGCAAAGGGGATGGTGGAGCTGCAGGGCGGTGGGAAACACCCCGTCTCTGTCATGGGCAGGTGTGGGACCCCACGCCAGCCCCAGCTGCCACCAGGTTATTAATACTGCCCCCCCCCAAATAAATAATGGAAATGGAAATTTCCATTTCCATTGGAAATGTTAAATTTCTCCCTCTAATGTTTTTCAAGATAGGAGGGAAAGAGGCTGCGCAGCCCAATGCTGGGGGGAAACCCTCTTGCAAGTGAAAAGCCGCAGCAAAGGGCAAAGCAGAGCRGGTGCTCAGAGCAACCACCAGCCCCCATTTCTCTGCTCCCTCTTTCCAACGGGGCTCCAGGACGTTCCCGGCTGGATGCAGAGGCAGAGGAGCCCTCATAGCCCCCCCCCAACGTGCTGCTGAGGGGGCTGGGGCGCTGCGAGCAGAGAAGGGGTCCGGGTGGAGGTGCTACTGGGGAGGGAACAAGGGATGGATGGAGCTGGGGATGGATTTGGAGGGGGAGAGGGGATGGAGCCAGGGATGGAGCAAGGGATGGAGCCCAGGATGGAGAAGGGGATGGAGCCGGGATGGAGAAGGGGAGGGAGCTGGGGATATAGCCCGGGATAGAGCTGGGGATGGAGAAGGGGAGGGAGCCGGGGATGGAGCAAGGGATAAAGCCCGGGCTGGAGAAGGGGAGGGAGCCGGGATGGAGAAAGGGAGGGAGCCGGGATGGAGAAAGGGAGGGAGCCGGGATGGAGAAGGGGAGGGAGCCGGGATGGAGAAGGGGAGGGAGCCGGGCTGGAGAAAGGGAGGGAGCCGGGATGGAGAAAGGGAGGGAGCCGGGATGGAGAAGGGGAGGGAGCCGGGCTGGAGAAAGGGAGGGAGCCGGGCTGGAGAAGGGGATGGAGCTGGGGATGTAGCCCGGGATAGAGCTGGGGCTGGAGAAGGGGAGGGAGCCGGGCCGGAGCGGGGCGGCGGCTGGAAGGGGGCGGCGACGGCGGCGGCAGGTGAAGCGGCGGGAGGGACCGGCGCCCGCCGCTCCGTGCAGCCGGAGGGGCCGGGGGGGGCCGGGGGACGCCCCCTCTCCCCCCCCGCTGACGTCCCTCGCCCGGGAGAGGGGGAGCGGGCAGGGAAATAGAAAAGCGCCGCTCGGCCGCGAGCGCCGGAGAAGGCGGGCGGGCAGCGGCTGCAAAATGCGTCTCGCGCGGAGCTGCCTCCTCCTCCTCATCCAGGGCAGCATCTGCCGGCTGGTGAGCGCCGGAGGGGCGGGCGACGGCGGGCAGGTTTTGGGGGTGGCGAAGGGGCCGGGGGGGGCTCTGGAGCCTGCAGCGTTTTGCAGATCGGTGAAGCCCCCCACCCGCTAACCCGAGCATCCTAAAACTTCTGCTGTCTCGCAGCAGGGAGCGGGTGGGGGGACGCGGGGGTGATGGTCCCATTCCCTGCAATTCCCGGCCTCAATTCCCGGGCTGTTCGGTTTGGCGGAGCCCCGCGGCTGCCCCAGYCCCGGTTCCCGCCGCGCTCGGGAGCGAAGCGGCCCCGGCAGCCGCTGGAGCCCGCGCGGGAAGCGCCCGAGCAGCCGCTGCCCGCCCCGGAGCGCGGCCGGTACCGGCCCCGGTACCGGTACCAGCCCAGGGGGCTGCAGGGCTGCGATGGGGCCTGGGGCAGCCCGAGCAGCACCCYGGCTTGGGGACTCGCCTGCGGGTGACGGGGCTGTGGGATGTGATGGTGGCAGGGAGATGATGGTGGCACTGGGTGACCCCCTGGCACCCGCTCCCCGGGCTGCAAGGGCCATTGGGCAAATGCTCCCCCCGTCCCACCTCCTTCTGCCCCTGCCAAGGATGGAAGCGGAAGGAGAGCAGGGAAATTAGCCATGGGCTGGGAAATACAGACTGGAGAGAGGGGAAAGAAGAGAAGAGGGGAAKGAGGTGGGCAAGGAGAGCAAGCAGAGGGCTAGGTGACATCCAGAGAAGTGGATGTCACCCATGGGGAATGGGGCTGGGCGGTGGGGAGCAGTGTCCACCACCCACCTCTCCTTCTCCACCGCTGCTCTGTCCAGGTGCTCAGCGGCCAAGAAGAACGAGGGGAAGATGCAGAGCAACGTGAGCACCAAGGGAGACCTCGAGTGCCAAAAAGAAGAGGTCACCTCTCTGCCAAGTCCCTGTTGTCTCCAGCCCTGCTCCAGAACACGACTCTCCTGGAGCTGGTCAGCAGCTCGCGGGAGCTTTGGGATATCCTCGACAACCTCTCCGAGCGGGACCACGCTCCGCRCGCCAGAGGACAGAGGGACCTGGGGCCAGCCACGGGCAAGCTGAAAAAGATTTTTGGCTGGGGAGATTTCTACTCCAACATCAAGACGGTAAAGCTGAACCTCTTGATCACGGGAAAGGTGGTTGACCACGGCAATGGCACAGTCAATGTCTTCTTCCGGCACAACTCTACCGGCCAAGGAAACATCTCCGTCAGCCTCGTCCCTCCGACAAAGGCAGTAGAGTTTGACCTGGAGCAACAGATCTTTATCGAGGCCAAAGAATCCAAGATCTTCAACTGCCGGGTGGAATAYGAGAAAGTGGATCGCGCCAAGAAGACCACGCTCTGCACCTACGACCCCTCTAAAACCTGCTACCACGAGCACACGCAGAGCCACGTCTCCTGGGTTTGCTCGAAGCCCTTCAAAGTCATCTGCATCTACATCACCTTCTACAGCATAGACTACAGGCTGGTGCAGAAGGTGTGTCCCGACTACAACTACCACAGCGACGTGCCCTACTACCCGTCCGGATGACGCCCTCTGGCCACCTCCTGGTGTCCCAGTGACAAGTGGGTGCTGGGGAGGGTGGGGGGAGGGACGGGGACGTTCTCGTGGATGGGGCGGGTGCGCGGAGGTCTCCAAAAACCAGAGGTCTTGCAGCAAGGGAGGAAGGAGTCTCTATTTTTSCCCCCAAAGCTCCCATGTCAAGAGGAGGAATTTCAGGGTATTTCTCAACCTGGCCTGGATCTGTGGTCTTTAGAGACCGGTAGGCAAAGACGGGGCCAGAATCTAGGATATAAAATGTAGGACAGAAAATCACGTTCAGGATTTGCGTTTCTCAGTGCAATAATACCTTGGCCTGGATCTAGGGAGGCCACAGGGTCACCAAAGGATGGACCCGAGGCGCAGAGCTCTACAGAACGCTGGAAAAGCTGGACCTGGAAGGGGACCTCAGTGGGGACTAAGCCACCTGGGTCCCTCAACAGGCACAGGACGCCCACAGGCTTCGGTCACATCGTTTTCTCCACGCTCAAGGCCAGCAAAACAAGCCGGAGCCGTGGGTGKGCCTGGGGAGCAAAGGGTCCTCTCTGGGGTGGGTGCTGGGTGCAAAGGGGCGATGCGTCGGGGATGGCGGAGCGCTCCGGGAAGAGCGGGAGCATCACGGGCACAGGCTGCGTGCAGCTCCCCTCCGCGGCCGGGTTCGGGACTCTGGCTCTGCAGATACAGCAGTCCCGGTCGAAGCTGTCAAAACCACTGCCACGAGCCATGATTCATGTGTTTCCCCTGGCACGGCTGTGATTCATGCCTTTCCCCTTCATCTCGTCCGCGCGCCCGAGCTCCTCTCGGCAGCCCGGTCCCCCCGGCCGCCCCCTCCGAGCGCCGTGGGCCCCGCACACCCATTGAAGTGACACAAGTGCCGTCCTTGAGCCGAGAATAAAGTTCCCGCAGTGGCACCCCGGCGGGTCGAGTGTTTTTCCCGAGCGTGGCCCCGGCTGGATGGGTGGACGCGCGCGGCAGCGCCCAGGTCCGGACTCGCTCCGGCTGCTGAACTGCCCCTGTCTGATGGCCAGACTTTGGATCCGGATCCATAGGCTGATAGGTTCCCCCCCGGATGCATCCCCGGGATGTGATGCCACATTGCTACTGCTCGTGGGCTGTTATTCCCGACCCTGTCTCTGCACCTTTCCCATGCATTAGCATGAGACGCTATTCCCATGCATTAGGGCTCCAGCTCCCCGCTTTGCCACATGCATCCCACSCCGAGGACACTGAAAAGCAGCTTTCCCACCCAAAACCAGCTTCCCTTTTGCTCCAAATTCCCCCTATCCAGCACCCCAGGCCACCTTCAAAACCCCTCCCGCCAAAGCGAGGCGCGTGCAGCAAAGCGAGCCTTTTAGCACAACAAAAATCAATGAGATGATGTTTACCCAGGGAACAAAAAGTTTAAGGTGCTTTGAAAGTGCAGTGGTGGAAAACAGCAGTAGTAAAAAGTGGTATTTTGGAAGGGGAAAAAAAAAAAAAAAAAAAAAAGAAAAAAAAAAAAAAAGAAGAAAAAAAAGAGCCATCTCAAGGGATGTCCCTGAAGGTTTCGGCTTCCTTTGAGAGCAGAAAGGCAGAAAAAAGGCACGTTCAACCCTTTTCCTGCCAGCACAGGCGAAGCAAGCAGAAGGAGCACGCAGCAAAGTTGCTCATTTGGAGAAATTTCAGACAATTGCCATTGGAAGCAACGGAGCAGACAGCAGGAGCAGCAAAACAGGCTACAAAGGAGGCACCGTCGTCAAAAGTGCGGCGGCGGCAGCGGCAGTTACTAGGAGACCAGGACGGGCCCTTATTCCAGCTTGGGAGAAGAGGATTCCTGCTCGCTAAGTCACGCCGAGGAGCAGCCTTTCAGCCAGCGCGAGGGGAAAAAGCCCCTGCCCTAAACCCAGCACAAAGCCCGGGCTTTGTCCATGTTGTTATTCCTTGAAAAGTAACTAGGAGTCAACCTCCTACAAACCTCAATCCGCCTCTGTAGGTTATGAGGATCTGGTCTTCTGCCCTGATCATCTTCCACTCAACCAGGCTGTGTTGTTGGCCCATTTTCTTCTCACCGTATCCAAAATCGGGCAGCGGCCCCAGGTCCAAAGCAGATGCTCCTGGCCACGCGTGACRTCCGAAGCCTGCTCATGCCTTCCTCCAAGGTCTCAACTTCCTACTCAGCGCAACTTCATGCAAAAATGGCCAAATTTGATCTTCTTCTCCAATGCAACAGCCTCCAGCTGCCCATTTTCTCAAGTTGGGTCAACGAGGTTTGCCAATAATAAGCGTTTTTAATGCGTTCCAGGCAGCTGCCGAGGTGCTGAGCAAGAGGGAAGGTTATCCATAGAAAAGCTTCCCTGCAAATAAAGGGGGAATGAGAGGCTGGCACCTTCTGCTGGATGTGGGAGCATCCTTAAGAAGCAGGAAGATGGAAGAGTTGCCAACGCCGGAGATTCTCCTCGGAACTTGGCAGGGCTCGGAGGGCTTCTTGCAGCAGCGGCTAGCACAGAAATTTGGCTACATGAGAACTTCAGCTTCCAAAGGAGGAGGAAAAAAAAGATTGGCTCCATCACAGAAAAAGTGAGAAGCTGCTGTTCCTGGAGGCTCCCGTGTCCAAACGCAAATATAAACCCCAAGCTAGGCAAGAYTTCAAGGCTCCTAAACCAAGTTGGTTTCAAAGCCCACCTCCCGCTCGCCTCGACGGGTCCTTACGGGCRGCAATAATCCCGCTGCAGGGACCGCTCGCTCCCGGCTCGCTCCGGGCAAACCAAGACGTTCGGTGCCTGGAGCCGGTGTGTGGCTTGGGACCTGTGTGGCTCGTGGCCCGTGGGCACCCGGGCTGTCCGTGCCCAGCGCTGCACGGGGAGGGAGCTCTGCAGATGCACTGAGATCTCCGAGGGACTCTTTTACAATGGCCATTGCCCCATATAACATCCATAGGTAGCTCCTAGGGACATCAACTCCGGTGCTTTCACTGCGTTATCCTGTGCAGGCGCCGTGCACCATCCCTTGTCCCACCTCCACTGCCCTCTAGTCGAAGGCTTCTCCTTTTCCCCCTCAATTCCCAGGCAACAGATGCCAACCAGAGCCTTGGCTTCCCCAATAAACTCCATGGAGAGGCTTTTGAAGAGGCTTTTGCCTCCTTGGCCTTCTCTCTCCCTATAGCTTTTGTTTGAGGCTACCACCCGTTTGCTTTGTGGGGCTGGGATGAGTCCGGCYGGGCGCTGAGCACTTGGGAAATCCTGCGGGAAGCAGGGAGAGGCAGCGGATTATCCACCAACCCCCAGCGCGGAGCCGGCCGCTGCGCGCGGGAGGCTGCAGACGCAGGCGCGCTGGATGCCGCCCGTTTGGTCTGAGCATTGTTTTGGTTTTGCCAATTAGCCCCAGACCCAAACACTGCCTCCCTCCTCCTCCTCCTCCTCCCACTTCCCAGTGGGAGCTGCTCCGTGTCCTCCGGCGCCTTTGGCCCCCCGGCAGCAGCAGCGCCCGTCGCCTTCCCTCCAATTAGCACCACCGCGCGTGGCAGCCCCGGGGGACCCGAGCACTTCCCTCCGGCCGCGGGGAATTTTCCGGAGCAAAAAAAGGAGCTGGGGGTGGGGGGGGAGCCCCAGGAGAGGCTCCCCCCGAGCCTCTCGCCCGYTTGGGAGCATCACGTCGGGTTGTGGGGCGCGTTCGGGGCCACACGTGGATGTGGAGCCGGGATCGCGCAGCCACCCGAGTGGCAGCAGGACACGGGGACGCGGAGTCAGGATCCCGCAGCCACCTGACTGGTGGCAGGACACGGGGACACGGAGTCGGGATCCCGCAGCCGCCCAAGGGGCAGGAGGACGCGGAGCTGGGAGCCACCCGCGCGGCRGCAGGACACGGGGACGCGGAGCCACCACGGCCGCTCGGAGGAGCTGGGTGTTGGTGTCACCCAAGCGCAGGTGCYGGGGGGCTCCRCAGGCTCCTCGTGCCCCCCCAAAGCYGCTCCCAAAGCAAAACCAGCCCCGGGCCCCGGCCAGCCCCAACCGCAGCCCTGCCGCCGAGCTCCACGCCAGGCCCGGCGAGGGAGGCAGCGGAAGGGGGAAAAGGCAAGAAGGGAACGAGAATTCAGACAAAGAGACGGGAAAAAAAAAATAACGGCTGTCAAGAGGAGGAGAGCGCTGGAAAACTCGCCCAGCTCCTTCAAATCCCAACAGGCCGCGGCTCCTCTGCCGAGAATTCCCAGCTCGGGCGTTCCAGCTGCACCTGCTCGCGCTCAACGAGATGCTAAATAATTCAGGCGGGCTCCGGCACCGCGGAGCTTCCCGGCTCCCTGGATTGGGGCTGGACGTGTGCTGGATTTGCCAGGGGAGCCCCGTGGGGCGGGAGGAGGCGGGTGGCTCGGGGGCCCCGCGGCACCGAGGAGCCTCCGCTTCCATCCATCCGTGCGCTGGGAACATCTCCCAGGAGGAGGAAGGGACAAACAAACGGAAAGGATCTGCCGCCCCAAAGCACCCATTACACAAGCCCGGAGCTCCCGCCCGGTGCGGCCGGACGCACCCGGGAACGGTGCCTCTCTGCTCCCCCTCCTTTTGCCCATCATTTCCCCCAAAATGCACCAAATGGGCTTTTTTTCCCCCCCAACTATCAGAGAAGAAGCTGCTCCGGGTGTACCCCCACATCAGTCGCTTACCTTGCGGGTTTTGTTTTGATCTGGCCCATCTTTCCCAGGGGATGTCCCGGCACTTGGGCACGGGAAGCAGGGGATTTTACTCGGGTTATCGGTGGCCAGCTCGGTGTTTGCAGTCCTGGGCTTTTAATTCAATTRGTATCCCTTAATTACCTATTATCACAGGACTTACAGAAGAACTGGACACAAGCGGATGGATTTTTTGAGCCACTGTCGATACCCTAGACTTGTCCACGATGAGCACTGATCACGGCAYGGGGGTCTCCTATTGGTCATTTGCCTCAAAAGCCTAAAAAAAAAGRGCTGATTTTTAGCAATAAAATTGCTAAATGGGGTAAATTTTGCCCGATCTCTCATTACA